CTGTGTACTGCTCCTAAACATGCACTCGAAGCTGAAGCTGAGAGATGAGTCAGAAGTTAGACAAGTGGAAGAAGCGCCACACTGGCATCCACCTGTGCTGGGAGACTCGTGGCAAGAGACGCAAGCTGCAAGGTGTGGTGATGCTTGAGAAAGAAAGTTTTCTCTTTTAAAGCTTCAAAAAGAAAAAAGAAGGAAGTCAGAATAGAGAGTTTTGTAGTACTGAACATACAGTACGGTAAGAATTATAACCCTTGTCTCTTAATGTCAAATGTAAAAAATGAAAAAGTAATTGCGGCAAAACTGTGCAAACGTTACACTAACAATTTTCACTTAGCATTGAGCAGCAAGAGGCAACAGTTCGAAAGGAGTGACGTGTTAGGTGCAAGCCACCAAATTAATATTGACCGTGTCATGTTTTGTCCCAGAGGCTGCAGAAATGAAGAGTCCCTCTCTCCCAGAAGGTTTAGTGGATGATGTTTTTTCTCCAGTGGCAAGGCTTTCTTATGGCGCCAGGAGAGAAAGACCAGAATGTGACATACCCAAATCTGTCGGAGCGCTCCATCAAAGTGCCAATGCATTGATTTTGACCACAGATCTATTCCACGCGACTGCCTCTGCACGCCCTAAGCCAAAACATCGCTCTCAAGACAAGGGTCCTTCTGCAGCCTTAGTGCCCCTGAAACCTGTTCAACTCCTGTGGGAGAGGAGGTGGGATGGAGGGGGGGCCGAGGAGAGGCCAGTGACCAGCATGGTGTTCCCAAATCGACTGAGGGACGGGTAAATGGTGGCGGTGGTCAGTAGGGGAAAAGAAAGGGGCGGGGGGGCTCCTGCCTGTTGAGGTGCGTCCCACCGCCCTCGAGAGGGAACACGGGGGTTTGAAATCAATGTGCTGTTAAGTGCAGTCTAGCCGCGGGATACTCTCTGCGCCGTTATCCATGCACCAGTGAGTCAGGGCCCTGCACACGGCGTCTGAGGCTGTGGACGCGAGGGCCCGGACTTTGCCTCCGGTCCCTCTCACCTCCGCGCGCTCTGCCAACACTCAACGCCCTTCTGCAAACAGTTGTGGCCCCTGCCTAGTTGAGACTGATCTCACACCAGGGTTGCACTCCAGCAGACCTGCATGCACTACACCCATACTTTCCTCACCCCCACCCTCCCATCTACTGCTGATTAACCAGGTCCTATAGGCAGACTAAATAAAGCATTGTGTTGTGTTCAATGACACCTGGCAACAGGGAGCTAATAGGAGAGCCTTTGTCGGTGTCATGGCCCGTGACCTCTTATTCAACAACACAAAACACTGGACAGAATATTGCATTATGTGCTAGAGGATATCAACTGTACGTGTACTATATGCGTTGGGCTAGTTTTACAATATAATATAGCACACTGGACCTGGTTCCAGGCTTTGCTGTGGCCGTGTGCCTTCAGTGGCCATCGTTTCGTGCAGTTAAAAAGATCTGACGCCTGTCGACTAGTGACATTAAACTCAAGACGTTTCAGAAAGTCTTTGTAAAATAAAAGCCATTAACTAGATCACGCGTGAATACATCACAAAACAGCAGAATGGCCATTTGAGGCTCAAACCGTCCCTCAGGAACAATTCCACAGTAATTCTAACTGGCTTGATAAGCATTTAACAGAGGTGACATTTATCAACACATCAAAAGGGGAAATGTAGTGTGAAGAGGAAGCAACCGCCACCGTCTCACTCGTGTTCGTCTGTGGGGGACTTTTAAAAAAAAAAGGAAGGGGGCATGTAAAGAAATGTTGACCCAGACACGCGCCTGCCTGTGGCTGCATTTAGCCAGTGAGAGCAGTAATAGTGTGTGACTGAAGGTGAGGAAACTGCCTCAGGCCTTCATCTGTGTTTAGATGTCAGCCCTCCTTGGGTACAATGTCTCCGCAGCCTCTTTGGCCTTTCTTACATGAACTCTCAACATGGTCGGCAATGGACGGCCTGAGGGGAGGTTGGTCGCACACGCGAAGCAAGAAGAAGTTTTACTAATGCGCTTTAAACCCCTGCAAACCACCGGATTGTTTTTCCCAGGCCGTGTGTTCCCGACCCTCCATCAAAACCCAGTCAATTGCTGAGATTGTAGGTAGCAATGTTAACAACGGTAGTCAATTTTTCGGGTCCTATCCCGATGCGCATATAGTGAGTCAACATGGTCTGAATTTGTGGTAGCATGCTCAAGAGGTGTCTATTGATTAGTGTACTTCTTGCATGAATGGCTTGAGAAAGACACAATTTATCGACTTGTTGCTAGGTTTTTATTCTGCAGTTGTTGAGACCTCCCATGAATCACCTGGAATAAAATAAATAATAAGACTGTGGAAGGCAGTGGAGGCCGAGGGCGATGTTTGTAGTTTAGATGCAAAGATACACTTCTGTAAATCACGCTGTAGTTGGGTCTGAGGTTCAAATCCAGCGGGAGGATGGAAGACATTTCATATGCAGTGCCAACACGCATTTGACGAGGCATTTTCGCAGATGCCTTGAAGCGTGTATGTTTGCTTGGGTTTGTTTTGCAAGACTAATTCTTGCAATTGCAACTATTAGATGTTAAACTACAGTATTTCCAATGATTGGCGAGAAAAACATAGAGCCATTCAAATTCTTAGGTCAATACAAATCACCAGAGCTGTGTTACTACGAGTAAACCTAAATAATTAGGTATAGTTATTTGAGATGCAAGATAAGTACAATGTACTTACCCGTTGACCCTGAATCACCATTATTTGGTTGATGTACTGTAATTCCCTTGTTTGTTTCATCACCTCATTTTTAGCCCTTCTGTTTTTTATGTTTATCATATGTGTTTTTTATGTGCCACTTGTGTAAAGTGCTCAACTGGGCCAGGACCCAACGTTGTTGCGACTCAAAATCTCAACCGGATGATCCTGGCTATTCAGGTCAAATTGAAATAAATAAAAAGAGCTCAAAGAGTCCTCGCGATTTCCAATACACTGCAGGTCGGTTATAGGTCATACATTTAGGGCGTGTGAAATTGTCATGGTTTTCCCCACCAGATTATTAGTGGATCAATTACTGTCACATCACTACAAATCTCTTTTCTAGTCTCTGTAGTTCTCCAGTCACAATCTTGATTATCCTCCTCGCGGCTACTGATGAGCAGAGGTCAAGGCGGCATGAAAAGGAGGAGAAAAACATTGTCAGATGCTCCAAAACACAATTTGCTGACACGCACAAGTGCAAACATTTATATTCTCCCAGCTCGAACCCCCCCCCAGCCCCCCAGGAGCCTTTTTCTTACAGCTTTCCTGAGAGGCCAAGGCAATCAAGCGCTCTACCTTGTTAGGAGGTGTTAATTGGAGTTAGTCAGTCTCCTCACTTTGTCAAGGAGTTTGACAACAGAATTAATTAGAATTGGAGTATGCAAATCAAGTCAAATTGGAGTCCTTATGGGGGAGGATTGAAAGTATTTTCACTTGAAGAAAAACAGGTGTTGAGAACATGAGCCAAGTAGTCTGTGTGTGAATAATATGACTTCTCTTTTCATGGATTTTATCTCCACTAATCCACTTTTGAGGTTCGTATAAATAGAGGTGTTGGGCTGTGCGTTGCCCTCAGTTGGGTGGCCGATGGACCATTTTTCATTTAGCCTGTTTTTATATCTTCAAAGCACACATGCCTCGCAATGCAGTTGCACTACTTGCATAAATGATGAAATGTGTGAAAACACCATGGCAACAACAGAAGGAATGAAAGGACTATGTGCTCTTCCCCAAACTGCTTCTACGTTGTCAGTCGTGTCATGTAAAAAAAATAAGATAAAAACTGTAAATCTGATATTTAAATCACACTTTGTTCGCCTGAATTGTGAGCTGTGGCATTACTTCTTTGAACTCATTTGTTGCTTGAAATGGATTGCTCAGCTTCTTGGTGCATAAACACCGTGGGTCCAGAGAATCAGGGAAACTTGATAAAAGGACATGGAGAGTGCTTACTGATTGTTACCTATATGCCAACCCACGTCCTTATCCTTTTGTTTACTATGCTTATGATTATTTGGATTTATGATGCCCAATTTAAAGTCTGTGCCTGAAAATGTTCTGAGAAACTACTCTATGCGCTTCGTTTGCGGGTAAAGACAAGAGATTTAAAACAGGAGAAGCTCATCCAATTTTACGTTGCATTCAATTTTCTACTTTTGTAGTTCTCAAAACACTTTACATCTAAATTTGAATCCACAATTGGCTATTTTTCATTAATGTGCCACTGCTTTTGAAAGCATTGTCTTATTCGGCAATAATTTCTTATTTTAAATAGCAGGGTTGTTGCTATGTGAACCTTTGCCAGTCATTCAGGAGACCCCATCTTTAGAGGCCCACATGGGCCTTCATAAACACACCATACAAATACAGCAGTGAGGTCACATGTCTCACTTCTCATTTACTGCATAATAAACTATTTATTTTCTTCAGGGAGTTCATGAGATTGTTTTTCCAGTTTCAGCAGTGATAGTACATGTAAAAATGTATTTTGCAGAATTTGATCTAATGTAGACAAAAGATGGATATTTTAAGAAACACCAAAAGCCTGTCTTATTCATACATTGTGGACATGGGACTTCAAACATACCGAGACAGACATTTGGACAGCTGCTTTATGAAAAGCTGTTTTATTATCCATTTAATAACACCTCCATGAAGACAATTTGTACAAGATACATCACATTCTAAAGTGCACGAATACTGTACAACGGAAATGACTTAAATACGTAGGGGGGGTAACAAAAAAAAAAACAAAACAAAAAAAAATCACATTTGTAAAAAAGGAAAAGTTGTAAAAAATAAATGGATAAAAATGGACATGCTTTTTCATAAAACAACATCACTATGGATGTTTCTGATCATGTATTTGAGAGGGGCTGGCCTGGGAAATTAACCATGTGGAGCTTGCTTGGGGGAAGGAGGGAAGGGGAGAGGGGGTGGGGGGGGGGGGGGTGGTGGTATGGGGACCCTAAACCTTGGCCCCCTTAGAGAAAAGAGAAAACCAGACATTACGAGGAATGGAGAGCACAAATATAAACAAAAGAATTATACTTAGTTTCAATAAATACAGTCTTAGGGGCTTGTGTAGAATGCATAATAACCCATGCCTTTTGGGTTGTCTTTGTACTCTTCCGTTGTCAAGTCCTCACACTTGATGGTGGGGGAGTTCTCTGTGCTTGAGCCCCCAGGAGACATCCTGCGCCGCTTGCACACCACGGAGTACACGCCGGAGTCGCTAGAGTCCACCGATTTCAGAGAGTGGGACGTCTCGATCCAGGTCGAGGCGGGCGGCGCGCTCTCGTCGGTCAGCTTGTCTTTTGTGGCCCCCAGCTGGTCCTCCGAAAAGGCCGGGGGGCTTGGACGAGGGGACCAGGGAAGGCCAGTGGTCATCTTGCGCTGGTAAGAGCTTCTGGTGCCCCAGCCCGCAGCCATGGAGGCGAAGGCAGAGTCCGGGTAGTAGCTGAGGGCGTGGGACGTCTGCAGGGACAAGGGCTTTATGCCGTAGGACAGCAGGCTGCTGGTGGAATAGTCATTCTCGTAGGACAGGTCCAACTTGTTGGAGCCCGGCTGCTGGACCGGGGGGACGAACCAGCGCTGGGCAGAGGCCGCGGCGCTGACGTCCTCGCTCTGCGGGGAAAGGAGGCTGTTGGTTTGGGGGACGGCCCGCTCGCTGGCGTAGAAGCGGTTTTGAGGCAGGTTGTTGACGAACTGGTCCTGAAAGAAAGGCTGCATGGTATAGCGGGCCCCGGGTACGATCTGGGTGGAGCGAGGGGAGTCGGTGGGCGACGGAGTCAACCGGTCACTCTCTGGGGCCGTGTACATCCTGCACGACAAAAGAAACGAGAACGCCAAAAAAAAAATTAAAAATCTGCATTTGGGAAATGCATCACGTAGCCTACCACAGGAAAAGGTTGATCCGCCGCACGGCGTGAAGTGCAAGACACGTACGAGTCATAGTTGTCCCGGAAGCCTTTCGCGAAGGGGTTGTGATCTATCTTCAGCTGCGTTATCTAAAGCAAATAAACAAAACAGAAATCAATAATGTGAGGTAGGATTACTAAAGAATGACATAATTGGGGGACACACACTTTATTTATTATATATATATATATATATATATATAATAAGCTAAATGCATTCTAAATAAAAAATGATCAGAGCGTCATGGGAGTGCTTACATCTGTGTTCTGGTAGGCAGTGACCGCTATAAACTGGTTCTCTGGGAAGGTGAAGGTCTGAGTTCTGGCCTCGTTGGTCATGTCCTCCACTCCGTCTTCCGTCACCTCCACAATGTGCAGTCGCGGTTGATATTTATGAAGCGACTGCAGGACTATCATCTGCAGAGGGGAGACGTGTGGTGAGTACAACGCCGGAGACTTGAACTGACTCTTCATTTAGAATAAAACAAGGTTTTTGATTATATTTAAAAAGATGTCAATCAAGCTGAAAAAGTTCCGAGACCCACAATTATTTTGTATTAATTAAAAATCTGAATAGTGAATGAAAAATTGTCAGAAATCTCTATATTACCTGTGTGTTGTTGTTGTTGGCCCCTTTGTTGTTGGTCAGCTTCAACTTGCCAAAGGAAATTTCTTGCCTCATCCAATGAGCACCAGTGTTTGGAGATTCAGGATGAACATACATTTTGTTACCTAAAAATTTCAACATTGTATTTAGTAAAATGGCAAACAGAAAAAATATATAGATTGGGTCCTGCTTTTTGAAAATACCCAATGACTGATTTTAAATAATTTAAAAAAGGACTTCGGGTGAAGTAAAACCAAAATACATAAAACAATTATTTTGTTTAAGTTGTAAGGTAGATAAAAAGGATTAATTGAAATAGAATTTATTTCTTAACCATAAATTATCAACTGAAGAATGAATCATATAAATGCATCATCCCACTTGAATTGTTTCTCCCAGATGAGAAATTACTGCATTATAAAATAAAAAACGTGTCACAGAAATCTGTACATTTTTTATAATAAGTTTTTAAAAATACTTTATTTTCAAACAATCTTAATATCTAACACCCGAATGTGATTCTCACCTATTCGGAATTTGTAGGGCTGATGGTACATTGCTGCATTATTTATTTCTTACCGTGTTTTATTCATTAAAAGGAAAATTAAGTTCTTAAATCCCGAACTCACCTTGCATATTATTGTCTGCTTTGCCACAAGTGACCCACTTTCCTCCCTGAAAGCGCCAGTGATTCGGGTCAGCCAAAATAACTTCCACAAAGACATTGTAATGGGCCGTGAGGTTGAGTCCGGTGATGTTGAAGCTGAGGAATGGAAACATCCGTCTGCAATAGAAAAATAAAAAAGCAGGGATAATTAAGAGTGGGACATAAACGCAGGAAAGACGCGCATGCCGCGTAGAACAATTAACAAAGGGCTTCACTAAAATATGATTTCAAAATAGTGTAAATTGCATCACTGTTGTGTTTTGTCTGATTTGTAGTTGTGCCATTAAAAATGATTAGAAACGAAAACCTTCTATATTAAAGTTCGGCTTGCAAAAGCTCAAAAGGAACATCGGAATAGTGTGCGTAAAATGTTGGTGCGTAAAAGGTGTAAGTATAAAATGACGGGTGAGCCTAAACAGGCCGACGGCTCACTCGTTTTAAACAACACACTCTGCACACGTCTGTCGTGTGCTTGAATTGGGCATTCTGCTTACCTGCCCTGTTTGGTGATGATCATCTCGGTCTGGTGCCGGTGGAATTTCAGCCACAGAGGCCGGTTGCACAGATAGACCTGCGCTCTGGCTCCGGCGGCAGACCCCGGCAGAGACATGGAGCCAATCCCTGGGCCCGTCCCGGGGTAGGAGGGGTACAAACAGCCCGGGCCCTGGCTGAACTGGTACCCTCCGCTGCTAAACTGACTCCGGCCGGTGCACACGGAGGAGGAGGAGAAGCCCGTGGGCGGCAACACTGATCCGTAATGAAGTGAAGCCGGGTACCTGGAGCCGCTGGAGCCGGTGTACACCGAGCCGGTCTGTCCTGCGTAAGGGAACAGGGAACAGGGGCTCGCCATGTCGGAAGTGGCCTGGGTGGACGAGATGAAGTATCTGTCAGAGCCCAGCTCGTCAAGGTTGTAACGTCGAGCGCTCGTCAACTCGTCCTCGCCGAGCACCGGGGAGCCTTTCCTCCCATCGGGCCCGGTTTTAGTGAAAGTGTCCCCCTCTCCCTCACCCAGCATCCCGCCGAGGTACTTCTTGGGGCCGCTGCTGGACTCGGATTCCGTCCGATCGACTTCTTGGTAGTCGAGCTGCGATGACGGCCTCGGGCTGTTGTTGGCACTGTCCGACGATGAAAGATTATAAAAGGTCTTGGGTAAATTAATGCTGGCGCTGGGAAGGATGTTCTCCAACTGCATTGTTGACACCTTTGCAATCAAACGAGAGTTTCGAGAGTTTCCGGAGGAGTGAATCTCAGCCAAGGAGGCGACGTAACCACCGGCTCCCTGGTCTTGTTTCTGTTCTGTGCGCGCCTCCCTCCCTTACGAGTGATGGAAGGAGGTGAAACCGGCTCCTCGCCTTTGGATGAGCGGATCAGGTTGTAGGCTGGGCTGTGGATGTTCGGCGGCTCTTATAAAGATGTAGTTCCCCACACCCAGCCGATCTGGAGCGGGAGGGGCGGAGCTTTCGGAGCAGCACGCGGGGGCAGCCAATGGTCGCGCTACTCTAATTCAATTACAAAGCGTCTGGTGGAAATCATATCAGGAGGAACATTCTTCACAGGTGCTGTTGCGTTTATTTTTACGCCCGCGTAGCGAACTTGACCGAAGTGACAATCGATCCGCGCGTTAAATATTTAAAAAGCAAAATTAAAAAGTAATCGACAACAGCCCTTAGGTCGTTATCAAACATGAGTAAAAAAGAAATCACAAAGAGAGTAAAAAAAACAAACATAACCTGTGTCTCGTTTAGCCAAAAGACAAAGCGACCAAAAGAATTCGCACATCAGCAGTCAAACTTTCAGCTCCGGCTTCGAGTCTTCGCGTAAAATATATATTCACGTACAGCTTGTCCGATTACTTCCACGCCGACTGCAAAACACGGAGAGCGTGACCCCTCCTGCACGGACCCCAAACGCGTCGAGAGAAAAACCATCACATGTGCACCTTATTTCCTATAATTGCCCCTGTCGCCGCTTCCACTTCCAGGTTTTCAGTCTTGGCGCTAATAAAACTATGGGCAGTAAAGACTGACTGAAAATAAATACCTGAAATTAAAAAAAAAGAAGATTTTTAATTGGGGTAAATTTGTTTCTGCTCAGAAAAAAAGCGATCATCATTCCATTTTTCTGGCTCTTTAATTTCTTTCACATATTGACTTATTTAAAACAAATATGGATCTTTAAAAAAATATATTTTTCACAGTTTTAATCCAATATGAGAATTATTGTTAAATTAGCCACTGGATTACACGCCAAAAACGCATCATTTCCATGAGAAAGAGGATTCAAATTAGCTGGAAATTCGGAGAAAACATTCGATCGATTTTTGACTTTGATTGATTTAAATTTGTTAACCGTTATATTAAATCATTGAGTAGATTGTATATGAAGTAATTCTAAATTAGGTTATAAAACAAGGAGGAGATCTCTGAAAGCAGATGACAACAGACATTTTTTTGTCTCTATGACATATAATGTTTACCTTTGAGGTAACGAGGTTAAAAAAGAGGCAAACTACCGTTTTAAAATCACGGTATGAATCCATTTCAAAGCCACTGAAATTCCAATAAGAGTAAAGGCCTCATTCAGATCTAATAAAAGACCGCAGCAACACTGCGCAAGTCTGCGGCTCATCTACGAGCGTCATCTGTAAGGATAACGTTACAAAATAAAATAAAAAATACAACAAGAGAATCATTCATTTATTTGTTAAACTGTTGACCGCGAGGTAAAAAAAATAAATAAAACTTGTTTACTGAAGATAAAGCATGTGTTTGAAACAGACACACACTCGCGCACACACACACACACACACACACACACACACACACACACACACGCACGTGCGCACGCTGAGTAAGAGAGATCGAAAGCTTCTGAAACCAGAAACGAGCAAAGAAACATGTCGCACCAAAAACGTCGTTCAAACGGCCCTCGGACCTCATCGTGAAGGGATTCGTCTCCAGTAGCATGTGGACAGCGCCCTCTAGTGACTGACCAGTATACCTGGGACACCTTACCAGCGTTGGTTATATCTAAATAACTGAATACTGTAAGAAAGCTGCATGCCGGCTCTCACTTTTTGCACTTGCATCTCACTTTGCGTCATCTTCAACTGCAATGAACTCAGCTTGCGTTTGCGTGTGTGGGTGTTTGTGTGTGTGGGTGTTAGTGTGTGTGTGTATGTGTGTGTGTGTGTGTGTGTGTGTGTGTGTGTGTGTGTGTGTGTGTGTGGACGCAGTCTTTGCATGTGTGTCTTAGTAAGTAAGCTGGAGGGAGAGTAGGGGGTGAGATGAATTTGGGGAAAATGGGGATAGAGATCTGTGAAAAGCTGTGGGAGAGTCTCGGCTGGAGGCAGATTGGCTGGTGTCGTAAATGGGACAGTGGAGCTTGCTGTTGGGCCATCAGGGGACCGGAGCTACATGCACACAGCACACAGTCTGTCAATCAAAGACCGGAGACCCGTCCCAGCTCGCCGCACACAGCCGGGGAACACCAAGCATTTGACAATGGAGATCAACCATTTTTTTTCTCCAAATGCTTTGAGGAGAAAAAGGCCTTTTTATAATGTATTTTTTGACCTGTCTCTCCAGCAGAGACTCTCGCTAATCTGCACCAAATTATGACTTCCCCAAGTCCAAGGTTTTCTACAATTTAATTTAAGCAAAATCAGGAGGTACAGTTGTGAAGGCCCGTTCTCTGCATTTTCCGCAAACGCGCTTGGATACAAAAGAAAAAAAAGTATAAATTATGAGGATCACTATGGCCCCGTGAACCTGATCCAGGATTAAGAGGGGTCCACTTTATGCCCGTGCGTTAATGTCCTCTTCCTCCCTCTCTCTCACACAGGAGAGGGGCTGCTCTCCTGACTCAGTGTTGCTGCAGGCTGTCGTTCTATAGTCGGAGGCTAAATCTCTAGTTCAAAGGAAGAACAGACGTCGAGGATTTCACACCTGAGCTGTCAACGCCTCATTAGTGCAATCTCTTTTACCTCTGTTATTCTAAGGGCCCTTGCACGATCAGCAATATTCATACATGATGCTGAGAGAATATTTTTCAGGGAGCATTTGCAGTCGGCAAGATACGCGAACTTTTATTCGCAGAAAATGTGTCATTGGCTTGACGCAGCTCATGGAGAGAAAATCCTGTCCACACCAAACTCAGTGCTGTTTTTTTAATGACCGCGATCTGAAGTGAAGTATAGGTTGCTTTTTCTGAAATGACCCCGAAGACTTAGACGCCATTTGAAAGCAACATAGAAAACAAAATAAATGTGATTTACAGGCCACCTATAAATAAACTAATTCCAAATGAGGTAGATGTTTAGGTTCCACTCATAAAGGAGCTCCCACTCGTGACCTGTCAGCGTGTTTCTTGACCACCTATAAAAGTCCAAGTGCGTCTGAGATGACCCTCCTTGGCCCTGGCCCAGGGCCTGCACGACAGGGGAAGGGAAGTCCTACCATATTGTTGTCAGAGTAGATCATCAACAGGGCACATGAAAGGAATACATTCCAGGTTTTACGGGCCAAGGTGGCTGCTGAAGCCTTTGCTCGGGAGTGAATTCATGTACCCCATTGCAAGGATTAATAACGCAAGTCTCATTAGAGATGCTCGCCACCGAGACCCCTGGAGGGAGGGGTGCTGGGAAACGAACCGAGTGCAATGTGCAGCGTGCCAGCTCTGCTCTCCTCCGCAAATCATCATCCTCCGGAGCATTTTTATTGGAAAGAATTTATTTCACAAGTTTATCAAAGATGTCCCCCAGTATATTTTCCAGCGTGCGGGGAATGCTAACGTTTAATCAACGCAGTGGCCCTCGCGCGAGGAGAGCTTATGTTACAGACATGCTGCTGTCTTCAAAGATACAAAGGTGACAGCTTTCATGAATTTACATTTGGGTGCACATTGCTTTCATTAATTACCTTTTCTTACTTCCTTGTCCCTTCGCTATTTCTCTTTATGATTTAAACATCATAAGATTTTCCCTCTCGCCTGGTAAAAATCTATTTGTATTTACCTATTTTTGTTGCCATCAAGCTTTTTCCTTCAACCCTCCCTCAAGGAGCATTAGAATATGTAAAGGGTATTCATTGATGTCACGTAGGCTATTTCACGTGTCATTCTAGCAGAGCAAATTATCATGGAATGGGAATCCTGCAAGCAGTCAGTGAGAGAGACCCCGCGGGAATTCTCTCTATATATGCAGCGCGTTTGAATTCCTCAAAATCAGAGTAATCCAGATTGCATAAAACCATCGGATACCACTTGCGATACTAGATGCATGTCAGCATGTTGCTGCATGTTGCGCCTGCACGCGTGTGTGAGTGCGTGTGCTTGCCTGTTTTCCTGTGCGTCCGGCCCTCGGAAAGGAGCGGTGGATTATTGCTGGAATGTGTCCGTGGATATGTGAGCCCAACGCTTCTGAGATGCGAGGGGTTTTCAGGAGGCAATGATAATCCACTGTGTCACCACAAATCTTTGAAAAATAAGGTGCACCGGCTGCATTCAGGGAAATAGGATTGCACTCACTGTATTTGATTCCCCAAGGCATGCTAACATGATTTTTGGATTACTGCATTATAGAACGTGTCACCCAGGGCCTGTGGGGAAACGCTGCGGCTACACAGTATAGAAGCACAGCGAGTTTTAAGGTTGCTGTGCTGATCTCGTTCCATCCCCTCATAAATACATTATCTCCTGGCACTGGTTGGGCCATGTTCCAGCAAAGTTTTAAAGGCTCCAAGTCTTGTAATGCTTTTTGGATATTCAGAAAATGAAGAATGAATGCAAATAATTTCAACCTAATCTATTCTATTAAACCCTGAATAGTAATAACCTGAAGCAGAGTGTAAACTACAAGATTCCTTGTTTTTTTTTGGTCTTTGAATCGGGTAAGCCGATCACTGAAGTGATTACGACACATCCACCATGTTACTTTCACCCACCGTGTCGTCACAAGGCAAAGAAATAAGCAAACAGCGTTGGTAGTCCGATGGCCCAAGTCTCACCCTCATGCCCATTTTAGCATCAACCTTTGTTGACCCACTTCTCTCCCGGCCCATCCTCCTGAAAACACCAGAGGCATCGACATAAGGGACCGGAGCAAAATAGCAGGTGCTAAAAGTTTGACAGCGTAGACTGGATATATGTGTTCCCTGGAACGTGAGGTGTAAGGGAGGGTGGCGGAGTTGTATCGACTCGGCATTAAGCCTCCCACTCTGGCGGGCGCAGGAGGAGAGTTAGGGTGTGCTGGTGGGAGGGGGGGGAGACACGGTTCCACACTCGAGCTTGTTCAACCAACCAGCCACCGAGATACAACGGCCCGACCCAGCTCACCCCTGGTTCTCCGTCCTTTCCCATAGCACTATTACTGCCAAACAAGCTGGGCTTTTATCACATCGCCAACCCTGACTCAGAAACTGCATTTCAGGAGGATCCGTTCTTTCTTTTTTCTTTCTGGGACAGGGAACACAAACAGATTTACACCACAGGAGTATTCTGCTGCTGCTCCTGCCTCAATGTGGTTAAATCAGTGAGTCAGAAGTGAGAATGTAGAGTTTTAACACTTCTCTCTCCCGGTATGAAAGCTTCTGGAGAGACACAGAGGAAAGCCCTATCTGACTTACTGTCTACCAGCCAAAGGCATATGCTAGTGGGAGGGAGGTTATGTAGACATGATTAATGGCTTAAGGTTGACCCCCCCCCCCCCCCCCCTCCTCGTGATACAGAGATGTAGCCTCTGCATCTTCAGTCTCCTCCGGGGAGTTGGGGCTACATTCATAGTGCTAGAAGGCCCTTTGACGCCCCTGTCTGTCAAACAAAAGACACCCTCACAGCCCCCTGATCAGGCCTTGTGTATATACTGGACACGTTTAAGTCAATATTATTATTCCTTCCGTGCAATTAGATA